CCCCAAAACCCCAAAACCCCAAAACCCCAAAACCCCAGGATTAGAGAACTTTATTGAAAGTCTCATCTAGCTTATGAAAGCTGGGTGTAGGTCGCCTTCCCATCTCAGGTATCCACATACTTAAAGGTCGGATAAGCCTTTGTCTTAGTCACAGTATCCTTTACCAATAGTTCACGAAGGATTTTGTTCATTTTCCTAATATTCTTGCTCTCCTCAGCTTTTTCCCGTTGTTTTTCAGGATCATCATCGCTTTGGTCATAACGCTTCAATTTGTTAGCCTTGGATTTAATGAAGCTTTTGTTGATTACTCTAGTAATTTGCTTGAAATTTGAGAGAATCTTAGACCTGCGAGGATCATCTTTATTGTCAAAAGTATCATATTGGTTCTTATTGTTCGAATATTGATGATATGCTAACTCTCCTGGATCCTTGCATCGTGGGACAATGTCCTTAGACTTCTTCCGAGTAGCAATGAAAGGAATACCCATGAATTTATTTTTACTATTTAACCAATCTGAATAATTTTTGTCTTTTTCTTGGTCATAATACTCTCTACATAGGTAGAAGTTGTTCTCAGACATTTCCTTTCTAGCTTGACTCCAGTTTGAAGGCCTAAATATCTCTGCACTCTCATTCTTAGCATTTCTGTTCTTTAGGCTCACTCGATTTGACCTATTTAGAGTTCTCTTTCTAGCATCGTATAGATAAGTCTTGTCTTGGAAAGTTGCTTCAGAGCTGTTATTATTGACACGATATCCTTGAGAATGATCTAAATCACTATTTTACTTTAAATTATACTAATAGTGCTGCCTTTCCGCATCTTTCTTCTGATAGGAATGTCTGGGTACCTAGCTAAAATCAAGTTTTGCTTAGTAATTGGCTCTCTTATGACAGACCTTGTTTTTCTTTTCCTGTACGACTCTAGAGATAAATAAGCTAAAATACCTGCGTAAGGGGTTTCCTTCTTCTCAGTATGTCGAATATGCTTAGCTAAAGAATGGGTTCTACCCATAAGTTCGCTATCCCTGTACATTACCTGGTTACAACTCCTTCCGTGAGTGTACATTTATCAATATAATTATATTTCCAGCTAAAATAAGAATTTAGGGGTTTTGGGGTTTTGGGGTTTTGGGGTTTTGGGG